GGGGATAGGAGGAATGCAAGTGAGGGGAGGGAGGACAGGACAAGGGGAGAGGGGAAAGAGAGAAGGGAGGGATGCGGGAACAGAAGACGGAAGAGAGGGGAAGAGGAAACGGAGAAGCAAATGCTGGGCAAGGAAAAGAGGAGATAGGAATAAAAAACAACGGAAAAGAAAGGAAGAGAGAGAGTCAGACAGACAGACATATAGAGAAAGAGATAATAAAAATAAGAAAGTAGAAAAATCACACATAAAAGTAAACCGAGACAACAAGAAAGAAAAATCAAGAAAAACACACACAAAAGAAAAAAAGAAAAAGAAAAAGAAACAGGAAAAAAAGGAAAAGAGAGAGAAACAGACCCATCGAACGTGACAGAATTAGCTACAAGGCGAGCAGGAAACGAAGAGCGAGGTCCCAACAGGTTCCATTGTGTAGAGAGAAGACACTTAAAGAGTTATTGTGAGCCGGAGGAACCCTTAGGCCTTTTGTAGGGTGAGAGACAAGCTTTAAGACTAAGGACAGTGACGTAGCTCTTGTAAAAGGATATTCATGTTGGGACACTTTGCTGGGAATTTCGAGTCGGCTGCTTCTGCTGAGTGTGTCTATTTTCTTTCTTTTTTTGTTTGTCTTTTATATGTTTTTTTTCCTTTGTGTGTTTTTATGTTTGTTTGTTTACTGGTCTGTTTGTTTGTAATTATATATCTGTATTTATATATGCTTATCTAAGTATTTGTCTATTTCTATTCCAGAAATAAAAAGTCGTTCCTAACCGATACAAAAAATACACCAGAAAAAAATGACTTAACACACGCAAGAAAAAAAAACGTAAAAGTTAATCAACTCGGCTTAAAAGTTTAAAACACAAAGCTCTAGCCGAATTAACATAAAAACAGTTGCGGACTATCGTTTCTTAACCTGTAGCTTAACACGAGAGATTAATTTCGAAAGGCATTATAACACAAAGCCTAACTTACTACAAGCTCATCCTGAAGCTTCACAAACTTGTTGCAAAAAATAGACAAACTTTCCATAAAACTTGACTCCCCCCCCCCTCAAAAAAAAAGTCGGTGAACTTAATAAATGTAATATATATATATAAACACACAAAAATAATAATAATACCAAAACTATAAACAAAATTTAACAAGAACAAAAAAACTGAACAAAAAAAATAACAATAATAACACAAAAATCTAACTATCCTCACAAAATCTGACCCGCAAGAAAAAAAAAAGAAATCACTAAATAAATAAATAAAAATAAAAAAAATCAGACAAAGCCAGAACAGCTTCCTGCCCTCACCCCCCCCCCCAAAAAAAAAAAAAAAAAAAAAAATCAAAACGACACAAAAGCTCCATGAAACCCGATCGGCTTCCCAGGTCCCTTCGACAACCTCTTACATAATAACCCGTATTGTGGTCGCCTTGTCCGGCCTCCCACCGACGCCCCTTCGCTGGCTGAATCTGATCGCAAGACGCCCCCGGGTTCTCAGGGGGCTTGCGCGGGCGTCTTCGGAGGCCTAAGGATGCGCGGTGGAGGAGGGAAGGAGGGAGGAGGGGGGAGGGGGGAGGGGGGAGGGAGGAGGGAGGAGGGAGGAGGGAGGGAGGAAGAGGGGAAGTAGTAGGAAAGGAAGGGGGGAAGGAGGAAAGGAAGGAGGGATGGTGGGACGGAGGGAGGGAGGGGGGACGGGAGGCGTAGACAGACAAAGAGACAGATAGCCAGGAAATATCGGCAATCAACTAACGGAAAATCCAATTTTCTGTCCTTACCTCTGCCCCTGCCGAGGGCGTCGACGCGGAAGTTGGTGTGCCCGGTCTCGCCGTCGGTGAGCTGGCCGAGGCCACCCGAGAGCCAGCCGTCCTTGCGCGCGCCGTCGTAGGTCAGGTCGCGCAGCGCGCCGTCGCCGCCGCGCGGGTCGCCGTCGGGCATCGAGTACGACAGCAGGCCGTCTGAGGGAGGAAGCGTCAGATGAAGGGCGGCGTCGCTTTTCTTCCTTGGAAGGTTCTACTCACAACGACAACGAAACAAGACGGGCTGAAGGCTTTGAGCAAAGGAGAAAAACTATTTTCTAAAAAAGCCCTTCGGGCGTACCTGTGTAGGGGCATCCGTAAACCTCGACGCGCATGCAGACGGTGCGCGGGTGGTCGCTGTAGGGCACGAAGCGCACGCGCGCCGCGACGATGGGCGGCGTCAGCTGCGAAGACTGCGCCAGGTACGTGTTGGTGTTGCCCTCCAGAAGCTGCAGAAGAGGCGAAGGAGGACAGGATATTAATGTGATGATGTACCGTGAGACGAAATTAAGAAGAGGAAGACATAAGCTTCTAGAAGGGGGACGTGTTGCCCTCCGAGAACCGCAGAAGGAGGAGGAAGGGAAAAAGACGAAGGTCAGATGGTCTATGAAAGAGAAGAATAAAGACTTAAAATAAATATGTCAGGTCTATGGAGTCGGCTTTTGCGCTTAAACGGATATATATTGATCAAAGACTTTTACTAGAAGATAGAAATTTAAACAGGAGGAATAAAAAAACAGAAGACGAAGGAGAGGGAGACCGTGAGCCCACCTCGTGTCCACGCCCGTCCGCGTAGGTGACCCAGTGCGCGAGTCCGGGCCGCCAGAACTGCAGCTTGTACTGCCTGGCGAACTCGCGCCCCTGGCCGTTGCCGAAGCGCCCCTGCACCTCCACCTTGGCCACCACGTGCAGGCCGCCCAGGTTCACCTCCAGGAACTCCTTGCCCTCGTTGTACACCATGTCCCGGGGGCACCACGCGCCGCCGCCCGCCTCCACGTGCGCTCTGAGGGCGGAGAAGGGGGTGAATTACTTTACTTCGACATTTGAATACGAGGACACATACACACACACACACACACACACACGCACACACACACACACACACACACACACACACACACACACACACACACACACACACACACACACACACTCACACGCACACACACACACACACACACACACACACACACACACACACACACATTTTATCACATGACAAAATTCAAAAATTAATTGAAAAAAGGGGAAAATGCCTACCTGGCATAGATCGCGTTGACAGCGGCATCGAAATAGGAGGAGGCGGAGATGTGCTCGTCTGGTATAACGCCAGATTGCATCCCCAAGGCGGACTCACATAATGCTGCAATGAGAGAGAAAAAAATAAGGTTTATCTTACTGTTAGTTTTCCAGTTTGGAGTTATTCTATGGTGCTCCTCGTTATCATGTTGGCTTTAGTGTTAAAGAGGGAGAGGAAAAGGAAGAGAGAGAGAGAGAGAGAGAGAGAGGGAGGGAGGGAGGGAGGGAGGGAGGGAGGGAGGGAGGGAGAGAGAGAGAGAGAGAGAGAGAAGATAGAAGAGAGAAGAGAAGAAAGAGAAAGAGGATAGATAGATAGATAGATAGATAGATAGATAGATAGATAGATAGATAGATAGATAGATAGATAGATAGATAGATAGATAGATAGATAGATAGATAGATAGATAGATAGATAGATAGATAGATAGATAGATAGATAGATAGATAGATAGATAGATAGATAGATAGATAGATAGATAGATAGATAGATAGATAGATAGATAGATAGATAGATAGATAGATAGATAGATAGATAGATAGATAGATAGATAGATAGATAGATAGATAGATAGATAGATAGATAGATAGATAGATAGATAGATAGATAGATAGATAGATAGATAGATAGATAGATAGATAGATAGATAGATAGATAGATAGATAGATAGATAGATAGATAGATAGATAGATAGATAGATAGATAGATAGATAGATAGATAGATAGATAGATAGATAGATAGATAGATAGATAGATAGATAGATAGATAGATAGATATAGACAGAGAGATGGATAGATAGATAGATAGATAGATAGATAGATAGACAGAGAGAGAGAGAATCGCTGGAGGAGAGAAAAGTGAGACTGAAAGGAGACCGACACAAACCAATAAACGAAGAAAAAAAAGAAGAAAAAAAGAAAAGAAAAAAAAATAGGAGCAACGGATAACCCAAAAAAGGCCCCAAGACTAAGCACATCATAATTGCTGAGATTAAAAGGCCATAAACATCCCGGCAGTTTTTCATCTAAAAAAGGACGGGGCCAATCACGCCCAAAAATATAATTAATCCCAGGTAATGCAGTTAATCGTGTAAAAAAAAGAAAAAAAAAATGAGGAGAACGAAGAAGAGGACGAGGAGGAGAAAAAAAAGAAAGAAGAAAAAAAGAAAAGGAATATCCGTAGGGAAAAAAGAGCAAAATGATCATAATAATAATAATAATAATAATAATAATAATAATAATGATAATAATAATAATAACAAAAATCAAAATCAAAATAAAACCGAAGCGACTCGAGGTACCCCCTCCCACTCTCCCCACCCCCCCTCCCCCCGCGACAAGGATAGACTAAGGATAGACTTCCTTTGACGAACCTGAGACTACCTACTGACCCTCGCCAACCTCTTTGCCCAAATAAGGTTGAAGGTGAACTGGAGGAGCGACACGAAAAAGGAAATAGGAGAGAATAAAGATAAAGAGAGACAGGAGAGAGGGGGAAAAAATTGTTCGAAAATACTACTGTATTTTCCTGTTTTCTTATTGTTATTTTTTATAATTGTTGTTATTCTTATTATAACTATTATTACTACTACTACTACTAATACTCCTATCCCTCCCTTCCTCCCTCCTCCCTCCCTCCTTCCCTCCCTCCCTCCCTTCCTCCCTCCCTCTCCACCCTCACCCCCTCCTTCCCTCCCTCCCTTTCCACCCTCACCCCCTCCCTCCTTTCCTCCCTTCCCTCTCTCCTTCTTTCCCTCCCTCTCCACCCTCCCTCCCTCCCTCCCTCCCTTCTCCCTCCCTCCCTCCCTCTCTCCCTCCTTCCCTTTCTACCCCCTCATCCCTCCCTTTCTCATTAACCATTATCGTAATTCCTTTACAATTTTAGAATATAAAAAAAAACGAAAAAAAAAAAAAAAAG